TCCCCCCTAAGTATGCCCTCCCCCCCTGAACAAAGAAAATATTCTTTCTCTTTACCTTAGTACAATACTTTGATCTTCACCGGTACGACGCATATGAAAATAAGCACGAGCAGCCAAATCGTAGACATGCGGTTGAAGCATAGGCTTGTTTTCAGAGACATCTCTGTAACCCACATCGGCATACGTTTGCAGAGTCGCATCGTTCACAGCCTCCAAAGGTTGGTAGGGGTTGATGACAATTAAATTTGAATGGCCGGCCCGGGTATACACTTGATTGCGCTTGTATCGACTGGATAAAAAGTTGGCGATGGTGTCTTCGGACACACTCTGGTTCGGTCCCGTCAATAATCCCACCAGATCAGTGCGTGAATCGTCTTGCATCGTCTTTGTGATATGATGGTGTATGTGTCTTTATATATAAATGTGTGTGTTGTGTGTAAAATGGATATATACTATAAAAAATGGTAAGTAACAACACGTCGTTTTTGATAGGTATCCATGGAAGTAGTAGTGACATTTACTTTTTTGTGATGCGATGGCTCCGTGGAAACGGGAGTGGGGGGAAATGGTGATGGCTTAAACGTACAACACAAAAGCACCCAATGGTGGTTCAATGGGAGGGGAAATGAAAGAGAGATGCGATGTAAGGAAAAAAGAGAGAGAGCGAGAGAGAGAGCGTGACAAGAAAAAAAAAAAGACAAGGAAACTCTATCAGGTCCTTGTTCCGCCCGATGATAAACGCTGTGGGTGCTGCTGGTGTGTGTGTGCGTGCTGTTGGTGAAACTTTGAAAAACTGCTATTTTTGTATCCCATCCAATTTTAGAGGTTTGTCCTCGTTTAAAAAGAATCCATAGCCATAGCGTGTGCTTGATGATCTTGAACCAATCCTCTCTTGGGAGGTGATCTCGAGAATACCTAATTTTGTATCAATGCTAACAACGTTTTTGTACTCGTTCTCTTCCCTACCATCATCTTTATCCAGGAAACCCATAGTAACGCACGTTGAAATAAATTGGATCGATATTGCCATTCTGTGGAACCTCGGACGGAGCGTGGATCCCATATAAGCAGGTGATGATGGACACACACACACAACATCCTTTTTGCACATATTCATCTCCTCCTCCTTCTCCTACTGCTGCTGTTGCCTTTGTCCATCTCTATCCACACATTTCCCCCAACCACTCGAAAGGGTTCCTTGTTTCTCTTTCATTATGTACAAATAGGTCGTACCTGAAACATTCGCGTTGAGTGTCCGCTGCATTTTTTTCCCCAGTAACAATAAGGTGTTGATGTCGGATATACTACTGACTTTTAATGTAGATGGGTTGCTTGCCAACAATAACAATATGTATTACCAACATGTGTGCATGTGTGTGCGTGTGTGCGTGATTGTGCTATGAAAAGGAGGGGTGTGTGTGTGCGTGTGTGTGTGTGTGAAAGCAAGTATTTACAGCATAAAATGATAAAAGAAGAAGGATACTATAGTGTAATATGTGGTGTGAGAGGAAAAGAGGGGGGTATTGTTCATTTTACTTTTTTCGAACCGATGCATCAAGTGCAGGTTTGGGATCCAGTCCTAATAGTTCGCATGCTTGCTGATAGCCTTCTCTGGATTCCTTGATTCTGCGCGCATTCTTCTTTTTGCGAGACATTGAAAGCATTTCTGCGTCTTGTTGTAATTTACCCAGGGTGTGAATGTCACTTCCTTGTACCCAGCCCCTACATGCAAAAGCCCATTGTTTAGTTTCATGCGCATGCTAAGCCCGCCCATCACCATCATCCTCATCATCCTATGCTTACCATTTGTGTCGTTCAGGTACCTTGTAAAACTCCACAAGATAATCATCCTTATGTCTTTGAGCTGTCATAATGTTGCGAGTCATCTCTACAGTGGATGGGTCGACAATCTACATACATACATGTGTGTAAATGTACAAACAAGCTTCCAAATAAAATAGCAGCAATCTTACCATGGCAGGATGGGGTGGGAATCCACGAACACGCGCCCATACAATCATGTCATACTTGATGGCGGTAGGTGACTCAGGCTTAAATCGACCATTGTTGGATGGCTTTGCTTTTTTGGTTGCTGGTGGGCTAATGGGTGCTTCGCCATCGCTATCTTCAAGATATTGCCAGCCTGGTGGTGCTTTGCGTTTCCGATCCACTTTGTATTCTCGAGTATCAGCACGAGCCGCATCCGAATGCCACATCAAATTACGTGCTTCGTTCGAGTTGCGTTTACGTAACCGCTCAGGTGTAGGTGCAATAAGCCCATCCGTTCCCATACTTCGTGTACGTCGTCGCAACGGGATTTTGCTTTTGCCTTTTGATACGGTGGGTTCTGATTTGACTTTGGTGTCCTTGGTGGTGGTAGAAACGGCTGCTGCTGATGCTGCTGCTGCCTTTTCTTTTTCTTTTTGAATCTTGAGCTCCTTTGCCTCTTCTTCAGCTTTGGCGGCTGCTGCTGCTTCTGCTGCTGCTACAGCTTTACGAGTCTTTGGTTCAGGGGGTGGCTCACGTTCTTGTCGTATCCGCTTAGCCTCTGCTGCTGCAGCTCTCTTTTCACGTTTGACAGCCAGTGCCTTTTGTCGTGCTTCTTCCCTTGCCACTCGTGCCTTTTCTAATTCCTCTTGTTGTTCAGCACGTTGTCGTTGTTTCTCCTCATCTTGTACACGTGCAAGTTCTTCAGCTTCCACGCGTGCTTTTTCAGCTGCAATCTCTTCAGGCGAAGGAACACGCACCATGTTGTATTTGAAAATCTCGGGATGAATGTCCACTGCAAGAATACCCGTTTCATGTCTCAATTCCAATCCTGCATATTCTCCTTTGGCTCGCTGAATCATATCCATTGCCACCTTCTCCAATCGTTCAGCTGTTCGATAAAATGTTGTCTCAGGCTTGTTGTAAGTCATACTGTTCTTCCATATCAACATGATGTCATGCTCCACTTGATCAATGCTGCTATACTCGTGATTGGCAAGGCGCTCCAAGATATCCGAAAATGCCATAGGCGTCTCGATAATGTCGGCATAATCAGGGGCCACTTCAGGTGTCACCGGATAGCGGAAAAGTTCCTTTTTATCAGCCCTATCACCATCATCATATATTAGTAACATGGTTGCAATGATAAACATGAACCACTTACTCAATCAATTGATCGACGACAGGTCGCATGATGTATTCAACAGGGAAAAGAATCATCTCCAAGTACGCCTTTTGCTTTCGTATCCGCTCCAGCTTTTGCTTCTCGCGCTTTTGTACTTGTTCAGAAAGCATTCGCACCTTTTCCAAATCAGCTCGTAAATTCATCATTGCCTTCGCCTTATGTGCCTTTTCCACCTCCGTCTGCTTGTGTTGTGATGAGGATGCTGTCCATGGCTATATGCACAATAAAAAAATCAATCAATCAATCAATCCTTTGAAATAATACCACTAGTATCATTACCTCCAAATGCAATCGCTTCAATAAGGGTGCACCACGTCGTGATTCACGCTTCAAAGACCAATAGCGACAAATGCTGGTGATGAACTGTGACTTTTTGCGAAGATTGGGTGCTTGTCGTACACATTTCAAATTTTCCAACTTGTTGATAATGTATTCGGGAGCAATGGGAGCACCAGCTGAATAATGATGTTGATGTGCACGAGCTGCCTTTGAACTGGGTAAGAGCTGAGTGACAGCAGCAGTATTATCGCTATTGCTGCTACTGCTTTTACGACGTTTCTTTTTGCCATCGTCCATATTGTCCGAGTCACTCGATCCATTCCTCATGTTTTCTTCAAGCCGCTGTTGCTGACGAGCTAATGCATTCTGATTCGACTTGTTGCGACGATTCACAGCTGCAAAGTAAGCTTGGGCATTGGCCACCGATTGTTCCACATTGACATTTTCCTTGTAATCACGTGGCGTGTGCTTGTCACAATAAGCTTTGAATACGACGCCATCATAATGAGTGCTGTGAGATTTCATTCGCATGCATAATCGAGCCCATCTCGCACATGTCACATGGAAGGCAACAAAACAGTGCTTATTGTCGCATTGGATACACGCACCATGCTTGCGTCGGCAAATGTAACACTGCAACTTCCATCGACTCTTTGGCACATTTTCAATATTGTCAATGGGCTCCATATAAACACTGTTGCTCAACCCAACTTCCGGGATCCAAATCGCACATAGCAAATGGCCCCACTTGTTTGTATTGGTTTGCTTGAATGCGCCACCTTCGTTGGGACAAAAGATGCATGATACTGGATTCTCGGGCGACACGAGGCATTTGCGACACAACCATTGGCCTTCTGGGATATAAGGAATGCCATAACAGTCTAGTAGTAGTAGCAGTAACCAAAAAAAGATCAATCCCACTTGCATCGCTTTTTTCGCTATTCCCTTTTGCTTACCTTGATGTACAGCAAGATTACACCCATCACAAAATACAATCGCATTGCTATTCTCACATTCGGTATCATCACAAATAGCACATGCTGAGTCTTCTGGAAGTGCAGGCTCATCCGCCAATTGCTTTGGAAGATTCTTGACCTAATAAAAAATCAACCCTTTAGTGTCTCATTCTCTCTTGCTTGGTATTGCCAAACTTACCAAGTCAAACCATTCCTTCTCCAGTTGGTCAATGACAGCTTCAAATAAATCACACGACACTTGTCCCAAATTGTCCTTTGCTCGCTCTTCATTCAGCATCCGCAACCATGCTTCATCTATTGTAATATCAATCAATAAGCATCCATCTCTTTTGGTCGTCTTTCTCCCTTTTCCTTACCTTGTTCATCCATATCATATTCGATCGTATTCATAAGATCAGCTTCGGAGGGTTCTAATTAATGTGCAATGAGTTGACCAATCATAGACATCTTGTATCACACACATGCACATCCACACGCACAGTGCCTCTCTCTTTTTCTCTCTCTCTCCTTCCTTTCTCTCTTTCATCTCCTATTTTTGTCCTACCAATATACCGAATGTAATGGTTTTCAGGTCGTTGAAATCCAACATTGGTTTTCTCTGTTTCCTCTCCATCCACATCCACATCTTGATCCGTGTCATGGGCTGTTGTTGTTGCATCATCGGTTGTATCCACATCCACAATTTGAAATGCGGGTTTAGGCAATAAGTCAAGATTCACAACGTCATTGTTGACACCTGCTTGAGGACGTGTTGACAAGGCTTGATATATATCACCTTCCTTTTGATGATCCACAAGATGATGATGACGATGATGCTCTTCTTCTTCTTTTTCATTTTCTTCTGCTGCTGGTTGTTCAACTTGATCTGTTGACGTTGCTGTTGCTGCTGCTGCTGTTGACGATGATTCAGTGTCAGATAAGGAGGAGGAACCGTTGGCAAGAGGTGGTGTCTCAACAGTGGGTACTGCTTGGTCATTCGTTGGTTTTTGTGGTTGTGGTTGTGGTTGTTGCTCTTCAGTATTAGTAGTCGTAGTCGTCGTAGAAGTAGTAGTATCAGTGTTATTGACCTGGACGTCGACAATGGCAAGGGGTTCCTTAATATTGAGATTCGGAAAGAAATCTTTGTACGATCGTTCTTCTCTTGGCTTGTTGGAAGAAGTGCTGTTGCCATTAGTCAATTCGGTTGTCGACGACGATAGTGTAGGATGGGCTGTAGTGGGTGTAGTGGCAGTGGTTGCATCACGATCAAGCATGGTGCTTGTAGAAAGTTGCCGGCCGCGTAAAAGGTGTTTCCTTTGAGGTCTTCCGCGACGTCCCCCTCTGATGCGTGCTCTGGAGGGCATCTTTAGACAATCAAAGGCGTAGAGTGCTCAAATAGGGTTGTGTATAAGTGAATGTGTGAAGGAGTTGAAAAGGGAAAAAGAGAAAGAGAGAAAGAGTCAACCCACGACGGGTTCAAAGTAGTATGTGTGTGTGTGTGTGTGTGTTGTGTGTGCGTGCGTTTAGGGTGGTGCGAGCGTGTGTCTCTGGGTATACGTGCCGTGTGCTTATGCTCTGAAAAGAGTGAAAGAGAGAGAGAGGGAAAGACGTTGTTGATAAAAAGGTATCGTTCCAGTCACACATAAACGCGTTATTGTTAAAAGGGTGATAATGAGTATATATATGTGTGTGTGTTGTGTTGTGTTCTTTCTCACTTGCAGACTATTCTTTTTGGTACGCTCATATACACACTCACTTTCAAGCTCTGCCGCTCCACACACGCAAACGCCAAGGTGGCCCAGTGACTTGGTTTCTAGTACCTTCTTATCCTCCCCAATAATCATCATCACCACCACCACCACCATCATCAATCATCAATCATCACTATCACCCATTACCCATCAACTCTTTACCCATTTTCCTTACAATACAATCACGGCGACATTCCATGTTTACACAAGCTGTCATTAAAGAAGGTTACATAGCGGGGAATGATTGCAGCCTTTTAGAGTTCACACGGTTTGATGCAGAAAAAGAAGCAACATGAGTGACAATGTATCACAAGAATATGATTACTATGCAATGCAAACAGGCCCCCCTTTCTATGGCAGTTTCTCAATGCGCATAGCAGCATTGTATCGATCCACTAGGCTTGAAATTTACCTAGCCTATCAGCAACTAGCTTTGGATTCCTTTGTCGATTCTTCCCCCCCCCTTATCCCCTTTTTCCCTTTCATTTTGAGATCTTGGGATTTATGATCTTACATGTATAATGGGCATTCTCCTATGCTGGAAAATCATTCTCGTGGATCGTATGATCTATCATTGACGTCTCGGTAAAACTATCATCAGCGACCCATCATCCATCCCTAACGTATCACCTAAAAAACCTTATGCTTGTGGAGCAAAAAGCACGGGTGACGACCACGTTAATGCGTTTTATAGATACATTCACGATGTCCACAGGATAGCCATCGAATGCCACAATCACTATTATGAATGATCTCTTTATGAGTACATTGTCCATTGTAGTCAATATCTTTTTCCGATAAACGAAAATATGAAGAGTCATTTTGTGTCAATGGATCGAAAACGTAGCACACCGATAAAGCGCACAGGGCAAATCTTTTTGGTTGGAAAAGCGGTCATTGTTATATCCGAAATCACCTAATACCGAATTTTTGCTAGTAGTATGAGATAACCCACAACAATGGTTCACATGCACCACATGGCATGACGATGATGGCTATCTATCCAAATCCTCAAACTATATTGAATGGCCATAATCGTATGTGGTATATGGGACTTCGCATGACGCTATGACTGTTGGCTCGCCAAAAAGGCTTCCTCGGAAAAGAGGGCCATCCCACCCATGTCTCGGTAAAATGATTTGCAAACCTGACGCTGCATAACTGTTGTCAAAATGAAAAACGCATAATCTCGGAGGAACAAGGCTAAAAAATCCAAAGGCCTGGATTTTCGTGGACTGATCATGTGTTCCTGCTTCATCCGATATGTTCATGTACGTGCATTACCAATGCTTAACGGTTCTTTTTATTTCGCAATGATGGCGTGGAGCCTAACACTATCATAGTGACAACGTATTAATGATCAATTTGTAGGGTAATCTCATTGTTGGCATTTTGAATGTAGACTTTATAAAGCACAGATCACCCACGGAGGGGGCGGGAAAAGCGGAAGGAGTCATTTGGCGGCATTTGACGTTTTGACATTTCCAAGTACGGACCAAGTTCATCCGAAATGACACACCCTATGTGTATAAAAATGCATGATGCTTAACGCGTTCTTCCCACATTGCCTTTATCAAATCCCTTCAATCGTCAAGCATCATCATTATCAATATGGACAAGAACTTGAATTCATTCGTTTCGGATTATTACGTGCGTACCACTTGGATTGCCTTTTTCACACAATGGGTCCTTTGGGGCCTTGTTTATGTTGTACGCCATGCCTTTGTGGCGGATGAGGCGGCGGGTGCTGTTGCTGCTACGGCTGCAGCGCAAGATCCTGAAACTGCAGCAACCAAGCATGAAAGCAAGTTTTGGAACCCATCGGCTTCTCCTATTGCCGCCCGCATTGTTCATCTTGATCGCGTATTGCACGAGAATACCATGTTGCTGCTCTCAGTCCTCGTCCTCAATACTTTTGGCAATGCATCCACACGTGCTGTCATGATTCTTACCTGGATCTATTTTGCTTTCACGGTTGTCTTTGCATTCAGTGAACTAATCTATGGCAACCGCTTTGTACGTGTTGGATACAACACTCTCTTTTATGCTCTTACCTTGGCCATTGGAGGCCTCGCCTTTGCTCAAGGATGGTAATCACATCCTCATCATCACCTATTCACACTCCCATAATATTCTATCTTGTACTCTAATAATAAATATCGGTTGTCATGGCAACATGAAAAGTTTAATTGCTTGTCAGGCAGTAAATGGATGTACAATTGGGATGATCAAAGAAAAGTCTATGGAATGGTGCTGCATATGACTATCTTGATGGTGATCATGGCAACGGTGGTCCCCTAGCATAACCTCTAGCCTACACTTTCTTCTATCAATCGATCATTGGCTTGTTGAACACCTTCAGGAAGACCCATTGAGGTTGGTATCGCATATTCAAATTGAAAGATGTTGATATCTCTGGAGAAGAAGAATGGATGTCATTTTGGTGATGAGGAAGGGATGTCACTTGTGCCAACGAACCATTGCTGCTTGGAGTTGATGATGTCCAATCATAGCCCATCTCGTTCAATCAACTTTAGACGCCCATATGAAGCTGAAGGCCGTACTTGTGATATCAAGAGCATTCACATTGATGAGGTAGAAAGAGAAACATTGGCATCTTCAGCGACAACCCGTTCACTGTCATTCCTCATATCATAAGAAGGTTGCATCCATGACACCGTGCCAGGCTTTTCGACGTTGTAAGCTTCAAAAAAGGAATATCGTGGTGCGTGGATTTTGCGTGAGTGGGCGTGTTATAGTGGATGGTGTGGTTGACAGGCTGATAAAGCGATGCATGAGCTGATCGTCCACAATGGCGTCCATAACTCATTCTCTTCATTCAATGTCGAGGCTCATAGTTGTCTTGCTTGTTCAATGAGTGCTGGCATGGCTGGCATTGTGTCGCAATGTATAAAGTAAAAAGGTAGGTTTGCAGAGTTGGGAGCAAAGGGCATTGCCACCCTATATCACCGAATGAATTCACTTGAAGAACCGACCGGAAAATATTTAACCGGGGTGAAAAGTGATTTCGGATTTAACAAAGCGATGTAGCCTTCATGTGTATGATCATAAGATAAGGAAAAGGGCACCATGTCAACCTATCAAGTCAATGCAATACGGCATTTAACAAGTAGATCTCGGTAGCCTGCAAATCATTGTTTTCGACATCGGCTGTAGCAGGTATTTGCGAGTGTCTATCATTATCTTTGTCATGGGGTGTCCCTGGGATGCGCATCCCATTTTTATCCTATGCAAACGAGGACAACTTGCATAAATCAGCGGGCCTTAATTTTCATGCCACTCCTCGCGTGTACTTGAGTGTGAACGCTGGTCTATCTCATTGTTTCACTACTCTTTCCTCCCCTTCCACAATCGACCATTGCTTTCTCTCCCTACTTCTGCGACATGTCCTCTTCCTGTGGATGTTATAGTGCCCTTTTTATTGTTGTCAAAGTCCAGCATAGTACGTTTGAAAAGTATTGACGCGTGTTTATGGCCTGATCCTCATCCCTCTTCTTGCTAATTCACAGCAGTCGATCGGCTTCCCCATTCTTATACACAAGCGAGCCTTGATCCATCTTGAATGGCCAACAGCAAGATTCCTTCTCTTCACTCTTCAAGGTATGTCATGCCAAAGCACCCAATAGGTATTCATCCAAACCCATGATTATGAATATTGATGACAATGCTTACTATTCTTTCAGATGGCTTACTTCCTCTTTATGGCTATCACTTATTGCACGCGTTTGTGTGATATTAAGGTAAGCAAAGAACAAATCCCCTTTCATGATGGTGACCAATGTTGCATTACTTAGCATTGCCTGAAGCAAGATCCAATCCTGTGGGTCCAACGTGTCATCATGTGGTGTTTTCGCTCCTTCATTTTGTTCCACAGCACACAAGCGAGTTCCCATCCTCGAATGACCTGCAGCAAGTTTCTTTCTCTTCCCTCTTCAAGTTGTGCAATGTCAAATGTGTCAAAAGGTATTTGTACAAATGCATCATTATAAACATTGACGATGGCACACACTCATGCTCGTAGTGTCTTCAAATTATCAGCTTGCTTTGAAGGATATCCCGTTATTATATGGTGACAAGGTAAGTACAGAGCACCTCCCTTTTCAACTTACCTTTCAAGATGATAAACAATGTTTCATCCCTTATTAGTGGCTACAGCAAAATCTCATCTGGTGTCATCATCCTTTACGTTGATCCGCAGCAATCATTTGGCCTTGTCATTCTTACACACAAGCCAGCTCCCATCCGCTTTGAATAACCATCAACAAGTTTTTCCATCTTCCATTCCATTCCAAGATATGCCAACCTCGCATCAAAAGGTATTCAATCAAACACATGGTCAAACGTATTGGTGACAATGCTAACGTATTCAAATGCCTGGCCTATTCTTCAAGGATATCATTATTCACGACGACGAGTGATCTTAAGATAAGTAAAGAATACATGCGCCTTGTACATCCTTCCTTGTTGCTAACTAATATCAAATCCAGCAGGAATACCTATCCCATGAGTTTTACCGTAGGTGGCCATCTATGATTGCTCGATTGTGAAAGAGCTTTCTTTACCTCTCCTTTGGCTGGAGGATCACCACTCTAGTTTGGGGAATGCCGGCTGGGGCGAGTTCCGAGGACCACACTTGTTTGTATTTGGGGAGGTGGTGAAGGCCAAGGATCCAGTGCAGACAACTGTGTAGGGGCTAAATCAGTGGATGACCATCCTACGGGAAAGTGTCTCTGCGATCAAGAGCCAGGTATGTGTTATTATCGTGGTTGATGACTGAATGATTCTGGTTGGCTGACATTGTTCTCATTGTGAATTTCCTGGGTGCGTAACTGAAGTCCTATATCACCGCTTCCACCCAATACCCGCCTGTGAATATTTTGCGACTGCATTATTGATCGATCACAGCTGCATGAGATTAGTGTCACCATTTCTAGTATTCATGCACAAGGGTGGTTTATTCCAATACACGTCGTTTCATTACTTTACGCATGATCACAGAGAGCAAATAGAGGCATGAATGGTTGTGGGGATATATATTTCAGCAAGCTACTATTTATATGCATTAGCAGAGCCTTGCACTGCCAAAAGCTCTAGCACCACAATAACCTATCAACGCTACATGTTGCAAATCGATGTTTTCGGATTCGTTTTCTGCTCGAATTAACTTGATCAAGACGTATTTAGAAGCTCTGTGGCACAAAAAGAAGATCAGTCAACGAATCTCACATACACACACCATGCCAAATAGAACACACCTATCATTCAACTCGATCACATCTTGTCGATTGTCGGAAATACAAAACCATGCAACAGGATCAGAATCATCTAGCATTTCATGACCACCTTTCTTGTCCACGTATTCTTGATAATCACGCCGTGTAAAATGATCGAATTTGGAGGTGGCTGTAGTAGTAGTGGTATTATGATTAGCATACTACTACATGATAGTAGAGGTTGGATGACAATCTTACCATCTACGTCAATGGGAGCATGGGAAACAAAGAACATGCCCTCTTTGCCTATTTCTTTGATGTGAGCATAAAGTTTAGAGGGTATTACTTTTTTTGGGAGGGTTGCATTACATGGAGCCGTGAATCTAAAAAGCAGCAGCACATGAGCATGCATTCCATCAATAATGATTCCATCATTTTTCATTTACCCGTGTTGTGGTGATTTAATAATGATGCGTGAAATGACACAGCTCTTGTCACGAAAAATGGGGTTGGTGTAAGGTGATCCACAATATTGCAGGAGAATGTTGATGGTGCCACTACGACCGGAGCTGTAGCATTTGGTTAGATCCAAGGCGTATTACAACAATAACCAAGTGCACACACACAGTCCATCCACTCACCAATAAACAGAATCATCGTTTCGCAAGATGTTTTCCACGCTGTAATACGAGCTGCCAAGAACGCCAACACGAATGCGTGAATGATGTGAAAATAACGTCGTATCATGCATGAGTCATTTACCTGTAACGTCCACCATCTTCCATCACGACACAAAAATCTAATCGGCCATGCGTGGTGGATCGAGATCGACGTATGCCATCATTGTAAAAGCTGGATGATGCATTATCGCCCAAGCAATATTGCAAAGTCCGATAGGAAGAACGACGTAATGTGCGTGTAGGGAAACCTCGTTGATGGAATGCCCTTAAACGACGACGAGCACGTACAGCTTCTGCGGCTGAAGTTTCATCGGAGGTGGTGGCTGTAAGATTACTCGAAGAAGAAGAGGTTGCTGCGGCGGCGGCAGGGATAGACCAATGATAACGTCGTTGTGATGATGGTGATGATGACGACGCGAGGAGCTGTTGTTGTAGTGAACGAAAAATAGGACGATGATGATGATGACGCATTCGTAGTGTGCTGCTGCTACTACTGCTGCTGCTAGTGCTAGTGCTGCTACTACTACTACTATTGGTACTAGTGGGTCGAGATGATGCATGATGATGAATCGGGGATGGGGGGCGTGGTAATCGGTAACGACGATAGGGATCTGAATCTGTTCTTGATAACCATGATGGGTGTAAGAATGCAAAGGGATCATTGTCATCCTCATTGTTGCTATCCAGAAAGGGTGTTGATGAAAGTGGGATATTGGTAGTGGCACTCGTATTACTGCTATTGCTGCTGCTGCTGTTGCTGTCAACGTCAACGTTACCACCTTCTCCAGTGGTGGTGGCAAAGTCGACCATATCGGTAGGAACAAGAATCGGCGAGGCTGTTATGTCATCGTCAATAGTTGGATCTTGTTGAGATGAAGGTGATGGTATGACAAAGGGCATGTTGTACGTGCACACACACACACAAAGGGAAAAAGGAAAGAAAGGGAAAAGTGAAAGAGAAAAGTGCAAGGACAGCTGGAAGGGTCCGCTCTCTAAATGGAAAGCGTGGATGGTGTGACTCTGGAGCACACACACATATGGATCTTATTATTGCTGTGGTGGCTCCTTTCTCCCTTTTCCCCCCTTCTTCACATTTGCCTTTGCTTACCCAGACCTAGATAACTCTTATAATGTATACCAATCATACGAGAACCCGATGTTTCTTTTACAGTGCCATATGCTGGTACAAGTTACTACTACTACACACCGCATGTCAAGTACATTCCCATAAATGGAATACAGGTTTGTTCTTGTTTTTTGTTCTCCACCCGATTCTTGATGCGTAAGTTCGATGATGTCATTCAACCTTTGCATCAACCATCGCTCGCATGTGCATTACAGCTATGACTTTTTTTATGGATCACGGACTTTGGTCATTGCAATGATATGTGCATCCTCTACCGACTACTCTTCTGCATGTGTAGTACCTTAGATAGCTTTAATTGAAACCTAATGTAATACAGCTACGATCTCATGATTGGCATGGCTATAGAGGAATGCTTTATGTATGATGAATTATGGCTTTGTGAAGGTTAAAAGGCTATTCTCGAAGGCATCCAAGACAATGTCACTGTTGTGCTCAGCATCCCTCTTGAATAGTGTGCTACAATATAAGGAAGCTAATTTGGTCAAGGACACCACCTCCACCATCACTACTATCCATTCGCATATTCTTCAAACCATGAAATCGATGACGACATGGATAATGCACTATGCTGTTAACAAAGCAATTTATTTGGCCAACAATGAAACTTGATCCCCCGCTTCTTGCTGGGTAAGACGTGTGGAGTGAGAAACTTGACCATCCTCCGAATGATGTGCGACCAAGCGGCATGATCGTTCGTGCAACATGACAAAGAACATTACAAGGATTAATGCTGGTTGGTTTATTAACTGTAATGGGTGATCGTCTGCTTACTGCAAAACCATATTTATAGCAAGGACAACAAATGACAAAAAAGGAAATGGGAAATGGTTGCCTGGATTGGGCCGCTGTTCTTGTTGATGGGGGGACGCGTTCTTGTCTTTCTTTGTTCTCTCTCCCAAATGGGGCCAACCGAGATTTCAATCCACGAAAGCAATCCAAGTCAACTTGATGGATAAAGGTGAGGGGAACTGGGTACATGGTTAAACGGCGATGCCCATTCAAGCCTGACATTTGAGTAAGCGATCAGCAGCATTTTGACACGTCTTGCTGCAACATGTTGCCTGAACAAGTTGTATGCGACCTTCATCGATTGCCAACAAGTCTGTGGAATTGTTTCAACATGATGATGCCAATAGTGGAAGGTATGAGGGATTTGTGATGGCGCGAGTCAGCATATTGATTGATCGTTTTTACATCAACAAGGACCATGATTCATCATACAAGCGAGCTACCATGTTGTTGATTGTTCGTGGAGACACGTTTCGATGCTATCAATTCTTGTGATCCTCTCGGCTTCCTTGACGACCATTACATTGTTTACAACATTTGGCATCATCGAATGCTGACAACAACAAGGCACCTGCTATCAGCATCCCATCAGCCACACTCGATAGTGTTGTGGAAACAGCTATGTAGACATTGAAGAAAAGTGACATCAATACGACATCCTTACATCACCCGCATCAAGTTTCCCCCGTGGTGCTTGACCACTTTATCAATCACGACCTCCTTTTCACTTGTACGGACAACAATGAACACGCCCAGCTATATATAAACAAGGCTGTTGTCATCAACATTATCACCTATCTCTTTCGTCTATTTGATCATGTACAATCATTGATCCCTTTTGGTAAGTGTCATCAAAGGGGTAGCTTTTATGATCCCACTCACACCGATGCATCCTCATCTTTATGATCACCCATTTACAGTGGGTCCAGGATATCTTCAACGGCATGTGCAAGTCTGAAAGTGTGGAAAATCTTCAAAGTGGGGGATGCGATGATTGGCGTGTCCATGGCAACGGATGATGGTGTGGTCAATTTGGTCTCGAAAATATCGGGGGTCCACTGTAGCAGTGTTTCATTGTTACTTGCTTTCATTGTTCTCTTCGTGACATTTGACCCCACTCCCTGAATGTGATGGTATGTGTGATTATTCTTTGCATCTTTCTTTGTATTTCATATTGATATATAAGTCTAGGGCGTTTGCAAGCTGATGGCATCCCATGGACAACTCAAAGGTCTGGAGGCTTCTTTGCTGGTGACATAAGGACGATGCCCAATGTACGATCATTACATGGGAAGAAAAGGAGCCTTCCAAACAGTTCAAAAGTCAACCAAAAGGTAAGCTAATGCTATATTAGTGGATGGGTAGTATCCAGGCATTAACAACTTTACCTTGGTGTAATAGCTTCAAGCTCTGGCTCACCAGCCTTTCCAACGCTCGGCAGCGATTATTATATCGTTACAGAGCACTGCTACAAAGAAATGAAGGCCTCCCAGCTGGCCTTGGCGCACGCAATATTGGGGATACTTCAAGGACCCTGCTTGAAAAGTTTCAGCGCTATGGTTGGGCCGAAGGAGCCTTCCTCAAAAAGGATCAAGAAGATCAGTTCGCCGCTATAGAAGCGTGGATACAAAGAATCGCCCAAACAAGCACAAAAATGGGTGCTATACAACAATGATGGATTTCCATTGATGCAAGCGGCACCCAATATCCAACGCTTGTGCATCGTGGGCTATATCTTAGGTTATTACCCAATCCTAGCTGCCTTGTTGTTCTTCTCAACAATAAACAATACCATCCTCGAATATCACTTGTTCTTATCACATCTACTTGTACTCACTTTACTAGATAAATCATGAAGACCGCAACAAGGACTACTATACCAGCTGCTTGTCATTTCAAAAGTGCAGTGATTCAATGGCAGAAGGTTGCGAGGTTGAGATAATAAAGTCGTCAATGTTGTCGTTTCCAATTTTACATCATAGACTTTGTTCCCGTACATAAAACCTTATCATGTTCATTCCTTGTTCCTGAAGTATCTTATCCGCATACAATGAGGACCTTCTATGGATGCTATCATCACCTACTACCCAAAGTCGGGGATTTTCAATCGGGTTCCTGCATCATGCTAAACAAGAAGGCTGTATCCAGCAGAGAGCTCCTTTTCCCATTATAGAATACAGATCCCTTCTCATTGTCCTTGATTCTCAAACACCTTGTAAGCAAATACATGCGTCTATTTTTTCCACTTATCGGTACATTTTGATACTAGCTCATTGTTAACGTTGTTATTGGTGTTTAAAATCAAGAAAATCAACAATAGAATGAGATGAAAACACAAACAATGATGGCCATCAACGCCTTAGAAAGCTTGAGCGTACATGCAGTCATTGCATGCAGTGTCTTTCTTTGTATTCTTACCCCACTGCTGAATCAATCCCTAATTGACGTGTTATTCCGTGATCTCTTTCTTGCATCAACCTACGTTTTTGTTTCTTTCCTTTTTTTTGTATAAGAAGCACGCTTTCGTTGTCACTGTAACATCCACAATCTAGATACGTTCATCCCATCATGCGATTTGCTGCTTTTCAGTCATGTTTACTTTACATGGCAGCATCCACTACAACCCTTACTTTGGCCATTGATGCTATATACACATGCGACTCTCCTATTTATTGCGACGGCCCACTACTGCGAACGGTTCAACTGGCACGTTTATTCAAAGATTCAAAGACTTTTGTCGATATGGTACGTACGTCAATTTACGCCATATGCATCATACATGCATGATCTCAGCTAAATATGCATTGAGGGTGGTGGTGGGTGCGGATAAAAAAGGAGAGCGATCTGAACGATTAAAAAAAGAACCCCCCATCTGTTGTTAGCCTACTGTAAAACCTGTGGATCAAGTGCTTGCAGCCTTTGATGACATTGGTGGTGAAAATGCATCCAGAGACGATATTGCCTTGTTCGTTTCCGAAAACTTTGCACCAGCAGGCACTGAGGTGACACGATATCCATTACCTGCCTACGATGATCCTATTTGGTTTGATCAAGTGGACGATCTACATTATCGTGGTTGGCTTGAAGTACTCCATCGCACATGGGGTAACCTCACCTTTCAATATGATGCATCCCAAATATGCGATGGTTGTGGATCAACTTTGCTTCCATCCAAACACCCATTTGTACTTCCAGGTGGTCGATTTCGCGAATTTTATTATTGGTATGTATCGACAACAATGGGATTGACAACACACTCATGCAACAACGTGCTATTTAGGGATAGCTACTTTACCATACGTGGTCTCTTATTAAGCGATTTGGATGAATTGGCACGCGAATTCATCCAAAATATACTGGACTTTGTCGATACATATGGCTTTATGCGTAAGTAGTAATGGGCCTTTTTTAATGGATGCAAGCTGACTTACTCATTTTCATAGCCAATGGTGCACGCATGTATTACTTGAACCGATCTCACCCACCCTTCCTTACTGAAATGGTCAAGGAATACTATGCCAAGACGCATGATGCTGAGTTTTTGATGCAAGCATTACCAGTGCTTGATAAAGAGTATACGTTTTGGAAAACCAACACCAGCGTCCAATTGACTGATCCAAGCACTGGAAACCACTATAAGCTTAACCGCTACATTGTGGACAACGATGCACCACGACCTGAATCCTATTTTGAAGACTATGATACAGCCTACCTCGACACCAAGTATGATGACGAGGAGCTTTATGAGCTCTTTTCGAATCTCGCTGCAGGGGCCGAATCGGGGTGGGATTATTCTTCACGATGGACCAAGGTCAAAGAAAGCCATGATCCACATGGATACGATATTTTACGCACACTCAACGTACACAATATTATACCAGTGGATTTGAATTCATTGCTTTATAGTATGGAATCAACATTAGCTACATGGCATCGTGATGGATCAGCCAAACAAAAGTATTACAAGCGACAAGCAGCTCGGCGTCTTGAAGCGATGGATCGATTTCTTTGGGATGAGGATGCTGCGTCGTTCTTTGACTATAATCTCACGAGCCAAAGTCGTAGTCATGAATTCACACCTGCCAGCCTTTTTCCATTTTGGTATGTAACCACATCACCCTTTATGCCTGACATAGTTCACTCATCACTTTGTAGGATGGGAGCTGTACCCAATCGAGTAAAGAATAATCAAGAGACGCTTCAACATGTATTGGATATGACCCGAAAGGCAATGCAACGGGATCCTGGTGTGCTCACCACATCAGAATACAACACCCATTTGCAGTGGGATTGGCCTAATGGATGGCCCCCTCTTCAATTCGCAGCTGTCAAAGCCATGATGACGATTGGAACCATGCTCAAAGACATTGATCAAAAGCAAAAAACTCACACACTCGCAAGAACACTTGCAGAAAGAAACGCAGCATCAGGCTATTGTTCATGGTATAGAACAGGTGGATCACTTCCCAATGGATTATTGACAAAGCTACCCAACGAAAAAGACAATGGCCACATGTTTGAGAAATATGATGTACGCACCATGGGTGAAGCTGGTTTTGGTGGTGAATGTAAGTAACAGAACACTATACTATATAACCCCCCCCCCACCTTCCTTCCTCAATCTAATCATCATGCATAGACGTTGTGCAGGTTGGCTTTGGTATGACCAACGGCGTGTTAATGTGGATGCTTGACGCATTCCCAGATCTCGAAGCCCCCGATTGTAATGCAGTATTCGCATATCCAATACAATGATGTTGTAAAACAAGGATGGTGGTGGTATTGATATAGATAGAATGCAAAATGTGTGTGTACGAATAAAAATGACATGATCTCTACTACTACTACTATTTCTTGCCCTTCTTCTTTGTCGATGCATCTTGACTCTCGGCAAGCTTTTTCATCACAGTCAACTTTCCAACCGCATTCGCCTTGACCGCCATTTGTCGTTCGATATTGTTGTTGATCTTGGCCGTCAATTGCTATCATACACCCCATGAGTCGTCGATCTCGTCTTTCAATTCCACCCATTTACCTTTTGAAGCTTTCGTTGCTTGACAAGAGTAGCTTGCTTGGGAGCAATCGTCCGTGCTATTGAAATGAACCCATCTCCTTGTCAACAATGGTTTCCCTCTCAACGGGTTGCCATGATCATCGACTTGCCTCCTTTCTTTGGTTGTTGTACTTTTCTGGGTCCCTTCTTTTGACCACCAGCATTCTTTTTCAGCGAGCCTTGCACCATGGTGTCGGGTATGTATCGAGTGAGGAAAAAGAGAGTGAAAGAGATCCTGCTGCTTGAAAAAAATCGGTCTTTTCTGACACTTTTGTTTTCCAGCTTCTCAAAAGGGTCATCATTACCACATCATCATTCACATATGGAGAACACATTCAACACGTAAGTATTAGATAATATCTGTTTTGGCATTATGGAGAGAAAAAAGCTAAAAAGTTCTCATTATCTAGAATAAACAAAGAAGGTGATCACCATCATCATCATTCATTCCAAGGGAAGAAGATTCATTGTCTCGGTGGATCACCATCACTACCACCAAGGTATGTATGGCAGCGACTATAATCAAAAATGACTATATTTCTAATGAAAACCAAAGTTATGATCCGCCGTCAAGAGAAAATACTGTTGTCGCTGGATACAAGATGTCGGGTTGACTTGGCGGTTACTGGAATTGGCAACTCTATAGAAAAAAGAAAAAGTTTCATGCAGCGATTTGCCTTGTCTCACAAGCTCAAATTCAAGTCACCCATTGCTACCATGCACAATACCCCTCTCATTTCTTTTTCCTCTCTCTCTCCATTTTATTTTCCATTCCAGATGCCATGCACTGGATACTACCATTACTTTACTTTACCACTTCACTATTGACTTTGATCTCGCATGCCGCTGATATCTATGAAAATAACGGGATACCCAATTGTACCAAGCCTCCGGGCGATGCTATGAATCTAAATCCGGTCGCTATGAGAGATCAACTACGCTTTGCAGTAATTGCCCATTATTCGATCCTATCCACTTTTTTCCACAGTCCAGAACAAGCCGCACGGGATGCAGCAGCGATTGTCAACGTTGATATTGAATGGCAGCGTCATATCGTGAACACGGGTGAAACAATGGCTCAAGATATCGTTGATGCCGTGGATCGGGTATGAAAATGAAAGAAAAAATCGGTTTCTCACAAGACAAAACTGACAAGGGATTGGTTACACACATGTAGAATGTGGATGCGTTGATTGTTACTATCCCTGATGAGGCCGTCTATCAAGCGGTGGAACATGCCATGTCGAAAAACGTGCCCGTGATCGTATTCAATTCAGGCCTTCAATATGCACAACAGCTTGGATTGACACGTGTGATGCAAGATGATGTCGAAGCAGGGCACATGTTGGCGCGTGCATTGTACAACCGAAATTACACTCGGCCCTTGTGCGTCCATATTTCATCCCAGAATGATCTCGATCAACCTGTCATTGATAATCGCGTTCAAGGCATCACTTCCGTATTCGGATCAACACCCACCATGATGACCGTTTATAAAAATGACAATCAACAACAAGCCCTCAATACCATCAGGCAGTCCTTAATGTCCAACGAATTCGATTCGATCATTGCCATGGGTGGCACCGTAAGTAAAAGAAAAAGAACATCCAGAAGAAGAAAAGAAAAACCTTATTTTTAATCTCATCTTCAACATTATTAGCCAACGACCGATCTAATGACGGAGGCAATGTTTGGGATGGATCCAAAGGATAAGCGGATTGGTATTGGATTCTTTGATTTGGGAAGCACCAACCGGACCGAGCTTTTTCATGCATGGCCAGATGTATATGGGATCTCGCAATTACCTTACATACAAGCGGCGTTACCCGTGTTTCTTATGCATCTACGGGTAAATATCATCATGTCATTCCCATGTTCTCTACAAAGTGCTAATACCTAGATAAAAAAGGTTATTACAGGATTTGACCCCTATGTCAACAGGACAATCCCAACAGGGCCGACGCTCATTACCAAAGAAAACGTTGAAGCACTAGCCGCCAAGGATGGATCAAGGTTCTTGTCAACCCCTGATAACGATAACACCACCATTGGCACTGTGATCCCTGACGTCCAAGGTGACACTTATCAATCGAATGTCATTGCCGGCATGACCGAGCTTGCCAGAAGATTAGGTTGGAAGATCCAATCATCACGCGAGGTAATTTTCTATAACAATAAAACCTTTTATTCGATGCTGATATCTATTTGGTGTAGGATGGGACTTATGGATATCCAGATTCGCTCAAGCTACATATGAAACAATTTGCTGACGCTGGTGTGAATGGCATCGTTTTACAATCAAGCGACGTCTCGGTGGTGAATTATGCACGCAACTTGAGCCAACAGCACTCGATTCCATTGACTGTATTTGGTACCTTTTACGAGAATCCCGTCAGCGGCATTGTGGATGAGATAACGTAGGTGGACATGTTTTTATGCAAACATCAATCATCTCATCACCATCATTCGTTGACGATTCAACATAGATCCATGGTCAATTCGATTTCCTTCAACATGACTACCCTCACTCACAGCATAGCCGGTGTCATGGTCAAAGACAACTTAAAGACCCCAACTTGCTTTCAAACGCATACACGAACGCAAGACGACTTTTTTTGCGCCCTACTCTACGACATGTACCAACAAGCCCATGGCAACACCTCATCGTTACCAAGCAAGGACAACTTTATTCATTCATTGAACCTGACAACATCCACGACCATGGAAGTCGAATTTGAGACCATCAATTCCACACTTCGTGCAAAGGGCTATATTCCGGATGCTTATATAACGCTTTCAGAGTACATTTTCAATGTCATGGACTATGTAAGTGATGTGCGTTTGCAACCAACACTTACATGATATTAATGACGTGCTGCTATTGTTGTAGAGCATCCTTCGAGGCATGATGTATAATGGTAGTGCTATCTACATTGCCGATTCCTTGTTGGATCAAAAGGAAGCTTTTTTAAATGGACGAGCAACCAGAGTATGGTGAGTAGTAGTACCAACAGCCTTATCACCTTATGAAATGCTAAATAAGATTACCATTAGGCATCTCAACATGTATGCAATGGGCTATCTTTCTATCCTCGACATCCTTCTAGCTCGATCTTCTCAGTATCGTCCATGGCGTGTCGTTCCCTTGGATACACCCATTGTGGATACAATCTGCCCAGCTGGGACGTACTACTTTGAAGCTGCCAATTTCCCATTTTGCTATGATGAGAACCACACGGCCATTATTCCAGGAATGCAATGTCTACTTTGTGAACCGAATACTTTTAATGATGTACCAAACCAGCCTGCATGTACCCAATGCCCAGTGGGTGAATTTTCAGCGCAAGGTGCTACACAGTGCAAGTCATGCAACGATGATCCAGCAGCTGGTGACAATGCTTATTGTGTTGGCTATCTGGCAGACCAACAACATCGAGCAAGAAAGACCTACATTGCTGTCTTTGTGCCTCTTTCTATAGTGATCTTTTTGGTATTGGTGTCATTGTGCACATGGTATTGTTGGCGTCGACAAAAGAAGCGTAAATTGATACGCAACCAGGAACCTGAAAACGTATGGCTCTTGTCCTATGATGAACTTATGCGCCCCTCAATGCAACATTTGTCGTCTGTGCCATCCCCTTCGCTCCATTTATCGGGTGGTACGGGCACATCACCCACAATAGGCCCTTTGGTTGCAGCTCCTGTGAGATGGTCCAATGGAAGCGAGAGACAATTCATGTTGCCACCGCATAGCGATATCAACACTACTACCACACCACGAGAGCAACAAGAAAAGCAGCAGCAGCAGCAGCAGCGAAATGAGAATCGAGATTCATTGAATCCCAATGATCCCGCTTTGTTGGCTGGATTTCCTTCAGCATCCATACCTCACAATGATGTCTCTGAAGATGAAACAATGACTGTGCCTGTCAAAGAAAGACTAAGCAAGGATCAAAAAGATGATGACAATCAATCAAATCATCCAAATGATGAGGATCAGGATTATTTTACGGCAACCTCGCCACAAGAAAGTTCTCGGCAAGTGTATATACCCTCAATCATCAATAGTACGTATCTTTCTAATGGCCATGTAGATTGCTCTTCTATCCAGGAAAACAGCCAAAGCCATTACGTCGTATCATTGGATTCCAGTAGGTTTTCTTTTTATACACCATTGCTTCATTAAAGATGGCTAACAACATCCTACCTATCCTAGTCGCAACTTGCCTGTCTTTGTCAAGCAAATTGGTTTCAAGCGATTGCATATTGATGCGGTTGCTCAACACGAATTATCTCTGATGAAGGTTGCAAGGCATCCGAAATTGGTGGAGTTTATTGGTTTATGTCTTGAACCCGAAGGAACATTCATCGTGGAAGGTACAACTTTAAAGGGACTCTTGTCATTATGAAACTCATGCAGCTCATACCTTTTGTAGAATATTGCAGCAAGGGCACGTTGTATGATGTTGTCAACAATCCTGATATCGGCCTTACATGGATCTTTAAGTTTTCATTGATCAACGATTTGCTTGAAGGTATTCTTTGGTTTACCAAACCTAGCTTTGATTCATGGTTGCTGATTTCTGATATAGGAATGGAGTTTTTGCACCGCTCCAAATTCATGTTTCACGGCTGTCTTACATCGCAATCATGCTTTATTACCGGACGATGGGAACTCAAGATTAGCGATTATGGGCTTGACAAGGTGCGACAATCTCAATATGACCCAACCTTGATGCATTCATTAGGAAAGCAATTTCCACAGCTTTCCAGGACTTCCCGCATCTTGCCAAATCACCTCCCAGGAACCACCCATAAACAAGATACCCAGCCCATGATCATTGTTCCTCACAATGAAAACCTCTTGTGGCTCGCACCCGAATCCGTGGTGTGTGATGATTCCAATGTATGCTTGACAAAACCAAGTCGAAGAGCGGATGCTTACAGGTAAAAGTTGGTTTTGGAAAGAATTTGGGGCGTATACTGATTCTTTTAAAAAGTGTTGGTGTGATCATCAATGAAATTGTATCAAGACAGCAGCCATTCAAGAAACAACTTGAGGACATGTCCGTCAATGAGGTCTTTGCTCATGTCGAAAAAGATTACTTGTTGCCGGACATGGCCCCTTCAGACGCAGATGAATACACAGCCAAGATGAACATGATTATTGCCGAATGCTTTCGACGTGATCCTGCTGCTCGGCCATCCATGACCATGCTAAGGGTAAGTGAATGCGAGAAATCTTGATGTATCCCTCCTTCTCTAATTGGATACGATGATGCTACCACTAGAATCGTATCAAGTCAATCGATCCCCATTTGACAAGTGCCAATAATAACGTGGTGGATAATTTGGCTACTTTGGTAAGACAACTATTCTTTTGGTGGGGGGGTCTATGTACGTGATCTCACATGGTGAACATAGCTTGAGCAATATGCAAATGACATGGAAAATCTTGTCCGGCAACGTACAGCCAATCTGCAACAGCGAACTTTGGAGCTTGAGGAAGAAAAAGCAAGAACCCAAAATTTGCTTGAAGGCAAGTAGGCTTAAATAAGGATAGAGTTGTTGCATTCATGCTAACGTCGTCGCACTATTTAGATCTCAAGGAAGCAAAAGAGGTAGCTGAAGCAGCAGCAGCGTCAAAGCAAAACTTTTTGGCCAACATGTCTCATGGTAACTCTAACCTTTTACTAAGCGTACGTAGTACGTAGTACGGTGCTCATGCTACTATTGTTTTTTAGAAATCCGCACGCCCATGAATGCGGTGATTGGCATGTCACGTATCTTGATGGAGAGCAACTTGCCAGCTGATTTGCATGATTGTGCTGAAACTATTGAATCATCAGGTATTGAAAGGTTGAGGGGTAAATGGACTTTATCGCTAACAAGGGAACATCCCACTGTTAGGCAATCACTTGATGGCCATCATTGACGATATTCTTGACTATTCAAAGATTGATTCTGGCAAACTTAGCTTGGAACATCGTCGTCTTGACTTGGTAAGCGTGAAAGAATGATGATGTACAACAGCTATTAATGTCGTCGCTATTGTAGACGTATGTTGTGGAAAGCGCCCTTAAGCTTGTATCACCCAATTTCTTGGACAAGGGGATTATCTTGTGGTATACCATTGAAGGCGATGTTGCGACATCTGTTTACGGTGATGTAGTACGTTTACGTCAAGTTTTGCTTAATCTGTAAGTATCCACGCCATGATGAAAAGTGATCTATTATGCTTATTTGTTCTTTTCTAAAGGCTATCCAATGCATTGAAGTTCACAAGTGAAGGTCATGTTTGCGTTTGTGTGAAGCGACTTGCCGAGTCTCCTGATTCTTCTGATGCCTATTGGTATGAAAGCAGCGACAATGAGAACTCGGAGCCAGGATGTCAGTTTTCAGATGGTACAAGTGATGTGAGTCCCACGCGTATAGAAACGTTGCAAGTGGCCGTCAAGGATACAGGTGTTGGAATTCGACCCGAGAAAACAGGTGGTCTTTTCCAAACATTTTCTCAAGTCGATGCTTCCACCACACGTAATTATGGAGGCACAGGTCAGTAGCCATGGTCATCTTTCAAAGCATTTTCTGACAAAGAAGATACATGTAGGTCTTGGCCTTGCTATTAGTCGACGGCTTTGTCGAATGATGGGTGGTGATATGGTAAGAAGAAATCAACAGCTCATCAACAATAACAACATGCTCATTGTTTCCCTTTATTCTAGTGGGTCGAATCCGAATATGGCAAAGGATCCACTTTTTATTTTCGAGTACTGTTACGGGAGCAAAGCTCGACACCTACGTATGCCATCCAAAACCGATTTGATGATATTGCACGACTATGCTCCTATTGCTTGGTTATTACCGATTCTGTGAGTCAACAGCAATGTTGGTATCATCTCCTCACAAGGACAACTATCCAACGCGTGGAGACGTTATCATTTGCTGATGCAGAGGAGCTACTAAAGCATGATCGGCCCGACGTTATCATTATCGATGAGGAATACGAAATAGTCCCAGCTGTTGATGAGACCCAAGCAACCAGTAGCAAGATTGTACTTGATGCATTACGTGCGCGCAATCCATCCATTGTATCCATCCCAGCGCTTTATGTCAGTGACGCTCGTCGACGCGATAAGGTTGAAACATCTTACACTACAGCGCCTATGCTCTTGCCTACCAAATCCTTGGCGATTGATTCACCACGTGATGAGCGTCGTAATCCGTTTGACGATACTACCACTACGACTACGGCTGATACGACTGGTATAACACGATTCATTATCAAGCCATGGAAAAACTCCAAGCTCTTTGCTGTGCTATTGGATTTGCTTGAGCACAAGGATGATACTGAAACAATGGCAGTTGAATCACCTTCAGCTGAATCTTCAAACACTACCACAACGGCCCATGAGCCATTGTCGGGATCCAAGGTTTCAGCAGCAACCGAAAACACACTTCGCATCAAACGTCGTGGTCGATCCAATACGACAGCTAGTAGTATTTCAAGCCAATCATCTACGAGCTCTGCAGTGCCGCTCTTATCTGAAATTGCAAGTGATATACGTTCCTTGTTAGTGGATGACAACCCGGTGAATCAAAAAGTCGTGGCTCGCATGCTATCACGATTGGGCATCAAGCCTGAAGTGGCACAAAATGGCAAGGAAGCATGTGACAAGATTGAAGCTTCGAGGAAAAAAGGCGAACCCATTGATTTGGTGTTTATGGATATTTGGATGCCGGAAATGAATGGACTTGAAGCGGCAGAGACGATACGTAAAAGCTTGGCTGATTCCTCATTACACCCATACATTATTGCTATGACAGCTTGTGTCATGCCTGGGGATCGCGAGAAATGCATTGCTGCAGGTAAGGATTGTTGTTGACAACATTTTATTTGATGCTGGTAAATCTTATTTTCATGTGCGTATTAGGTATGAATGGCTATGTGAGTAAACCTGTACGCAAGGACGAACTTGAAGCCTCGATCCACACATATACCCAGATTCTGGTCAAGGAAATGCACATGTTTGAGTCAGAGAGTGATTCGGATGATGATGATGATCGCACACCAACACCCTCCTCTCCCTGTTCCCCTGCTCTTCTTCCTTCAGTCACCATCACATCAGAAGATACGGATCATATCCCATAGAGTAGTTAATGATAAAATAAAATGATGTCGGAGGATAATATCTGGCATCGCGTCAGGAACGCGTCCTTGTAAATCGCGCGCGATTCAATGTGGAGTGCGTATTTTTTTACAGCGGCGCGTCATGGAAGTTCTTGCTTGCAATACATACACACACATACACACCCTTCCTCAACCTCAATGCAAAACGACGAATACTACGACATTGACTCCATTCTAGCCGACAGCATTGTAAGAGTGATTGAATGCCTTTAATGTCACTACATGCTAACGAAGGACGATCGTATAGAAAATACCCTGCATTTTCCTTCATGACCTTGAAGCATCGGTCAACCTTACTGGCGATGGCAGTGAGGCAAGTGTATACATCACGACTTGGGGGAATGGGTGGGGGGCACTCTTGGGACGAGGTGGGTAGGGGGCTTATTGTATTATCCATTGTAGGTGACCCGCAATACACGTATAGAGCTTCCATTCTGGTTGGCCAAACCCTTAGCAACGTTCACACTTCCTAACAGCGAGTAAGTGTCACGAAAATGGGTCGCGTGCATGCACGTGGCGCGTGTCGTTGATTGTGTGTGGCTGGATCTTGTGTAATGTGGTGTGTATGTTAACATCCGACCGCTTGATTGAATGACAGCTTTATTATCAAACTTGAGATACCTCGGCCATTTGGTAATCGTGTACGCAATAATCTGGACGCAAGCCCAACAGCAGTCGATTTCCGTTTATTATGTCCATACTTTTATGTCTTTGGTAAAAAGCTGGTGAATCTTATTGAAGATGGAAGGTTACCGGGTATTTTGGAAAAGGTAAAACCATACACACACACATACACGGCCTTTTGTTCCGGTCGACTGATCCTTATTTAATTTGGTTAGACGTTCAAGACAAGACTAAAGGAGATTATGGATTACACACAAACGGGATCTACCACCGTGAATCAAGACTTTTTACAAAAGCTGGATGAAACTGAAAAAGAATGTAAGTGATTTGGGATCAATGGCTTTTTATTGGAGGGGGGGAAAGGATTCTTATTAACAAGACCTATGGATAGTATTCAAGGCAGGTCAAGAAAGCTCCACACAGCTCAAACAATGGCGAAATCGTGCCCTGGGAAGGTTAAAAGCAGTAGACATCACAGCTAGACAAATATGATACATACAATAAACCCGTTGGATACCGCATGCATGCATTCATCATTGTGTGATCTGGGTAATAGGTAAAAGATCAATGTCTGCCTTGTTGTCCGTGATTAGATAATACAAGCCCATAGCAGACGTGATCCGCGTCATTTCCTTGTCCTCGGGTTAAAGGATGTCTGTATTGTCATCCGGGGTTGAGTTCGGTGATGGATGTACTCTTTTGCCGCCGCTATGAATAATTTATCCATTCAACAATGGCAACGTGACGCATGTTGAATAAGCAATAGGACACATCATTGAATAAAGAAAGGTAGCATTATGAACATTGTTTAGCAGAAAAAAAAGGATGTCTCTTGTTTGGGAGTGAGTCAACAACAACCATGCACTCACTGTTACGCACAGATGTGGAGCGGGGAATAGAACCCTGCTTGGCAACAAAACGAGTATGAGCATATATATACATATTACAGTGCACACGCACCCTACTTTCTTCTTATCTCTCTCTCTCTCTCTCTCAGCAACACAACCCCACTGTTTCAACCATTGCCATCATGGCCGAACCCAAATTGTGCTTACGCACATACAGGCCGACCGATCGTGACCATGTCGACTTTTTATTCTACAGCACCTACTTTGCTCTTGTTCCCCAAGGTGTCAAACGAAAGCTTGCTGCTCCCATGACATGGGTCATTGGTGTGGGGATCTATGCCTACTTGCTAGCCATTGTGCCCATTCTGCTGGAGGGTATGGGTCTACCTGCATGGAGTGGCATCGTACTACGCGTCTTTTTCACTATCGCTTGGGTGTTGGTTGGCTTTGCGGCACTCTTTTTATACACGGATCGATTTGAAATGGTGGAACGAGTCGAAGCAGCACGACAAAACGACATGCTTGATCCAGAAGTGTCTTATCTCAATTACATAAAGTATGAAAAGGTGGTGTCGGATGAAGAAAATGACAACGACGGCGACAATGATGCAGCATCATGTTCCGACAATGGCAACAAAAAAAAGAAACGAGTGACATTCGACAAGGATACCAAGCCCGCCACTGAACTTGTAAGAGAGAAGAGGAAGGATAAGACGCCATCTCATTTTTGGGTGCTCGAAGTGGATGGTGTACCCTGTGGTATGGTGGGATTACAATGTCTCAAGGAACGTGTCATGGATCAACGTCCAACACCGGGACCAGGTTGGCAACGCATCATCTCTTTGCTTTGTAATCGATATGGCCGTCCAAATCCATTCCAAGAATTACCTCCTCGTGTCTATCAAGAACCCCATCCTCTCAACACTGCCACCCTCACACGCCTTGCCGTGAAATATGAATTGCAAAACTGCGGCTTGTCCACCGTCATGATTACACGTGCTATGGAATGGGCGGATGAACATGGTATCCAAACAGTAAATGCTGTCACCAACGAATGCCAGGAAACGGCCGCTGCTATCTTGAAGGAACGCCATGATTTCAAAATGGTCAAAAAGGTCAGCACTGGATGGTTTGGACAATATGACAAGTATTGGGAATGCAATGTCAAGGATTGGAAGGAACAACAAAGGTTGAAGCAACAACAAGAACAAAACGTACCACAGCAAGAAGACGAACAAACATAAAAGCATACACAGCAGTAGTCGTAGTCGTAGTCGTAGTAGTTTTACAACATCACCACCACCATCATTATCCATTTGTATCATCCTATTCTTTAAATTGATGTATTGGTCACTTCCAGTCAACAATGAATACCCTTGTTTGCCTCTAAACTACATGCATCTGTCCAGCTATGTGAAAGGCACACCCATTGCTTTTTTTTTTGTTTTACGTTCGATTGTAACTTGATATACTATGTGATGTAACTGGTTACAATGTCGATCACAAAATGTATTCTTAACATGTACATGTTGTTACTTTGATACTTGTTTTATCGTACACCACGCGTTTTAGCATTTGCATATTATACAAATCCAACGTCTATTATCACATTAGGTATATGAGTAATGCAAAAAGATGATAATAGAATGACTGCATGCACTTTTGAAGTATAAAAAAAAGAAGCGACATCAAGATCACGTGACCGTGAGTGTCGTAGGTCATGTGACCACGTGACCTAGCTTTTGCTCGTTCCTT